TATACTACCACTTGATTGGATACTCGATCGATACGCTACACACAAACTGGGATAACGACATATTAGATACACGAATCACAACTAAATATAGAGAACCAGAGTGTAGACTAAAAAATACTTTGTTTGACACAATTACACCCAGCATGGAATCGATGAGTTTAGAGTAGAAGTCAATAACAGGAGGGAAATCACACATTTAATGGTAAGTTGAGTATTTTTCAGTCCACACTCAGTGAGTAGTCACATCTTGCTTTCCCTAGTTTACGTCAGTTCCTTAACACTCAAATCCTCATACAACAACAGTTTATTAGATACAAGGTAAGGACAATCACGCCGTAATGTTTCTCAAGGTTCGTCTCCAGAAAAGTCACTTCTAGTTCAAAGTATTAGATGACAAAATCTGGGAAATTATGAATGGGAATTCAAAGCGTGGGAAAAATATATTTATGTCAGATAAAGTCGTAAAATAATAAACGTTGAAACAGGGAAATTATCAGAACCCAGGATCTGTTTAAACGAAATAAACACACAACTGGAATTAAATAGTTTATAGCTAAGTGGCTTGAGTCGTTATAGAAACCTAAAAATACCAAAAATACTAAATGTACAGTTATTTATACAAGCATTGAGGGAAAGTACAAGACATTTTTTATCAGTACTACATTCACCATTCATTGCTTATTAGTCATATAGATGACTGACTAATTTTCTGTTACTATTCGTCATTCGACACTCACTTATCACTATCAATTCCATACAAATTACCCCTAATAGTTACATCGTAACAGAAATTCTGTTTGGAAAAATGAACAGATAGTACAATTCCATGGTAGCAATGATTATGATTTGTAGTCAAACAAGAAGTACAAAGATTACTCATCATCAATGTATGGTTGCACATAATGTGACAAATCAAACTGGTAACGAGTGTTTGCTTTTCAGGCACCGATTGATTATTCGTTGTCGACAGTTTTCTTTTGGTGTTGGACAATAAATTTTTGTAAAGTAGTCTAGCCGTTTGTTGTGCTTCAATAATGAATCGAATTTTATTCAATTTTCTGACTCTGTGAATTGGGACAGTTATATTAATCGTTACGTCTATATTTTGCAAAAACATCAACACAGTAGTCCCTGCATCTGTTTATTCCTCTGTACATGTTTTCAGAAATAGATATATGTCGAAGTAACTCTTTTTAACACGTAATAAAACCATGGACTGTGTCCAGAAGTATCATTTGTTCAACTGTTTTGTTTTTAATGTGTGGTCCCGTAACCAGATGTTACATTAAAACACTACTGAATTAATATCTATGGGACCATTAGTAATTGCAAAGAAAATACTATTATTCTGTTGCAGATGCAACATTGATGACAGATCAGGTCTTTCCTTGCATGCTCAGATACAATATCAGCTAACAATGTTAACACCACCTAAAAGGTATATAAAGTAAGGTATTGTAGATCACTAAAGTAGATGATCTATATAGAATGATTGGCAGCCAGCTGGAGTTGGATCAGCCGGCTAACCACATGGACCAGTCAATGGCGTGCAATTAACTGATGCGCGTTAGTTGTCGTTGGTTTTGACGAAGATCGGTGAACTGTTTGATATTCAGTGACCCAACTGCCGGATGATTTGGCTATGACTCAGTGACATTTTACTGGCCCTACAGTATCTTCCGTACAAGAGTGAATTATTAAGATGTTTTCGTCAGACAAGGTAAACGACACTGTTATTAGAAAAGGAAATTAATTATCTGCGAGATACAAAAATTAAGTAGTCATCAATTAATACTGATACTAACAACGAATAACTTATGGATGTACTGGCAAATATGAATTATGGAAACATGCTTCAAGCTTAATCGACTGACCGTCTGTAATACGAAGATCTCTGGAGATGGGGAACATTGTATAAGAGTGATTTCTTGTAGAATCAACTTGACTTGCAACGTAGATGAACACTGAACACTTCTCGGCTAACATATGGAGAAAACTCTACGTCGTTAAGGGGTTAACAAGCAAGATATACTGCTCCAGCCACTAAGATTCAGTGTTCAGATATAAAATACTGCGCCTCAGTAGAGATGAGTGACTGCTATCATTAGGATCATTCTTTTCACTCGAAAATTACTAAGGCCTACCAACGACTGCAATGAAGACGTTAAAGATCAACTCTACGATAGGCTGCAGTCAATCGTTGAGAAATACCCAGCAAAGGACTCGACCGTTCTCATGGGGGGATATAAAGGCCAAGGTTCGAATGGACAACACCGGATATGAAGACATCATAAGACGACACAGACTAGGAGAAAGGAACGAAAATGGTGAGAGGTTTGCCGACCTATGTGCCTTCAATAAACTGGTCGCAGGGGGCACCATATTCCCACATAAACACATACACAAAGCCACATGGATTGCACTGGATCATACTACACAGAACTAAATCGAACATATCTGCATCAACGAAAAGTTCAGGAGGACGATGGAAGATGTGAGAATCAAGAAAGGAGCTGATATAGCCTCAGATTATCACTTGCTGGTCTCCAAGATGAAGCTGAAACTCAAGAAGAACTGAAGAACGGGGCACACAACATCACAAAATTCAATACACCCATTCTTCGGGATACTGACAAACTCAACGAATTCAAGATAGCCCTTAGCAATAGGTCCCAGGCCTTTTACGATTTACTCAATAGAGAGGGAATGTATGTCCTATCCACCTCCAACGTCTTCTCCCGATTTCCTCTTCAGCTCGAAGCTGGTTTGACCTCTCCCATAGTAGGTCGTTGTTGATGGTATCCGACCTACAGACATTGAGTATCTTGTGTAGACAATTGTTTATAAATACTTGTACCTTTTTGATAATGGTCGTGGTAGTCCTCGGAGTTTCAGCCCCGTACAATAGGACTGTCTTAGCGTTCGTATTGAAGATTCTCACTTTGATGTTGGCTGACTGTTGTTTCGAGTGCCATATGTTCTTCAGTTGTAGGAATGCAGTCCTTGCTTTGCCCAGTGTTGTCTATTCCAACCTTGACGTTTAGGTCTTCCATCAGGATGGTGAGAGCCTTTCTTGGGCACTTTGCTATGATTGATTGCAGCCGCTCATAGAACTGACCTTTACTCTCATTGTTACTATCATTGGTAGGTGCATAACATAAATAACATAAATAACATAAATTATGACGCCCCATGGTGAAAGCCGAGATTCTTCGTAGGTCACGAGGCTGATGCCTTTTCTAAGAACCATAGCAACAATTTTTATAGGTACATGTAAAACTTGGCATGAATATATTTTAACAAAACAGATGCAAAGCTCTCAAATTTGAATTTTAAAAGTTTCGGGCAATTGTATAAATGTTAAAATTTTCTGATTGATTACTTACTGGAGTGTCGGTAGGCAACCTTTGAATAACTTCTTCACCAATATCTAGGGAATTTAAATCGTCGCCTGAGAAGTTGATGCGATCGACATTAGTAAATTTTTCTGTCAACTGGCAGAGATGATAGACTTCTTCACGATAGAGAGCCGTGTAACTGACCATTCCCGCCATCCATGGATAGCAGACAAGACCAAGAAACCAATGTGCACTGAAAGAGTTTTAACAATGACGACCAATCAATCTGAATATACAGAATGTCATGCGGTTTATAAAAGGTAAACAATCAGAATCATTGACGGTGGATTAATTTAAATACTAAAGAACAATAAACAATTGTAGTAGTGACTAAGTGAACAAATGTAACTAGAACTATATTTTTAGTATAACCTATCTACCAAGTTTAATTTAATGTACTTGATTTCCGTCAGTATTTCTAGTGTAAGAGTTCATGATACGACTCGCCTAAACAAATCGACGTAGATGAAGGAATATTCAAACTTTTAAATCAATAATTAAACGATCATCTGATTACTTATTTAAAAATAAACTGACAGTAGTACATACCACTATCAACATAAATGACTTTCAGAAACATTAAACATCCAGTCTAGAAATTCAACAAAGAAAACGGCGTCGAACCTATTTTAAGTTTAATCATTCAGAAGAAATACTGTGGTCATATTACTCGGGACTTCGTTGGACGAATTGTGTTATGTCGTGGGGCAAGCATTCAGTGGTTAAGGAATACATTTTGAAATCACACTTTAAATTTGTTGTGTGTTTCGTTAACTTTGATTCGCTCAACTGCATATTGTCCTCAACTTTCTTACCAAATAAAGTGAACACAAAATCCAAGTACATAAACCTGTACTCGATAAATGAGTTATATTATTCTGGATTATGATATATTTTAGATTTCTTTAAAGGCAACATGTTGTTTTACGGAATTACCATTCTGTGAGTTGTTACAATATTATATGTTGATAATTCCACAAAATGTAATTACATATCGTACTGAACAGACTTCTATTATTAGTCTCAACATATGTAGACAAATATTTTCTACGACAAAGGTGTTCATTAGGGTGGATTTTCCGTCAAAATGAACAAACCATTTGATGCGTCCAACCACATAATAATTCTGACTAATGGAAAAACAAGTTTTCTGATTGTTTATCGTAACAATTCTACCAAGTTAATTGACTGTTCAGTATTGTTTTGTAAAATAGTAGAGTAGGTGAATGACCTTATCAACACAGTTAAAACTAACACTGAAATACAAGGTTCATGAGTGGTTATACCAAAGTTTTTCATGTAAGTGGTCCATTTTTTGCGTGGTCAGTACTGCGAACAGCAGTACTCTTTGAGACCTAGACATTTTCGAATGGATTCTGAGTAAACTACTGAGGATTGTGATACTAGAAAAGTTTGACAACACTATTGAAAAATTTGAAAAATGTTCAATGGTAAACCAAATAATCCTAAAAATTCAATTAGCTTAACATAATTCAATCCATGTTTAAAAAAATAAATTTTTCAGAGACCTACCATTCGTTAATTGGAATAATAATATAATCTTTACTGAAAAGATCGACTCGACGTGTCCATTTCGCAACATTAGCATGCTGAGCAAAAATTGTTCTATGAAAACAACATGAATTGGAAATGGAAGAATTGAATATTTTCTGAAGGGTGTGGTAGTATCTTGAGAATTTTTTTGAATACTTGTCGGATTATTTTCAAATTTCGTTGAGAATTTGTCAATCATATAAACATAGAGAAAATCTTCCCAACTAACGCTTACTCGTGTCATGCGGTTAGCAGAGATAAACGTAATTTGATGCAATGACATTACAGATGAAATAATTTCGTAATGATCATTAAGAACTTTCGATGCGGATGAATAAATTACTGATTCAGTGAGTACAGCAAAATAGCAGAGATAATGCTGCACAGTTTCTCCTTAACAGAACAAACACCACATTATGTTATTAGTGAAATCGAGAGAAATAAGTTGACCAATTATTGTACTCAACTTTCCTGTTATTAATGATTGATATTTTAGTCTTTATCTTTTTTGTTCCTTGATATCCCTAATAGGAGTTGTAAGAAACTTACACGCTTAAATGATATATAAAGATGTCAATTTAGATTAGTTAATGAGTTGTATTCTAATCACTTTTGTGACATGTTTGGTATCTTTCGAATTGGTGAAATCAATAGTTATTTTTGTTCGTGAGTTTTAGAAGTATTTTTCATGCATTCACCACCTTATTTTTCGTATAGTCTGATAAGAAACAACAAGGAAATGTCATGGATATATGGAAAATTAATTTGTCATAAAGCCTACAATTCGTTAATGATCGTATGGAGATATTTCTACATCATGAATAGTGTTTTAATGCGTTATGAGCTTCTCAGATATGCTAAACATCACCAATGGGATTTCTTGCTGTTATAGTTAGTGCTGATAGTTGTAAAATGTCACGAGACAAAATCAAGGATAAGCATTTAGTAATTGAAAAAAACACATGATCAATATGTTTTTTAATGTGGTGGCTGGCAGCCGTATTCACTGAGTAATTAGAATTCGGTGAAGTGGAATTTATAAAAATAAAACGGTTAACCTGGAACTCGTGAGGCAGTAACAAATAAAAAGTTGATAGATGGAATGTGTAACAATTCATGAGGTTGAGCCATGTTATGCAAATTCTACCACTAACTACTCATAAGAGTTATATTCTGGTTAACATAGAATTAGGTTAGAAGGCTAAAGGCGGCCAAGTGAAGACATGGCACGAGTTCATGGAGTCACTGACAACCAGTCTGAGCTAGGTGAGTTAAGGCAAGGTTCACAACTGTTTCCAGTCACAATAGTCGTAATCCGTGGTTTGGTGACAAAGGTCAAAATCGATCCCATTGAAACAATCAAACTGATTATTTATATTTCTGTAAATGTTGAGCTCATTATCATTCTGCACAGTTTATTCTTCGGTTTCACATGTACTTTTTAATATTTAACTCTTAGTTAGATTTTCACCAGTTTTCCCGCTTCCCGTGTTTTAACTTGTTCTCTCGGTATGATAATGTAAGACACGACAACCCGATGCCATACATAATTGTTATAGATCTCAAAGTTGCCAAAGACTGACTGAGAACAACAAAGTATGATGGATTTAATGAGGTGTTTACTCCAATAAAAAGTGATTACAGGTTTTGCCAGTAGAAAACCAGAGGAGAGGAAAGTTTATTAGAAAATGAATATTATTTGTATAGAGATATAGTAAGATCTTAAGGCACTCGCAATTTTAACCGGAAGACTCCTTAGGAGGGACAATCGTATTTCTTTCGGAACTTATCAAACTATTGATTAGAGCACTTCAATACTCACAACTCATTAGATCCCGAAATCAGTATATCACTTCATATCTGTTGTCAGTATTTAATCGACTAGCTTGAAATGCTGATTTAGACTTCATCTTGTTAATACGCAGTATTTCTAATGAATATTGAGTCTGCTTATATTTTGTGTATAATCTTGTAACTATCTTCATTCCTCCATACAAGATCGTTATTCTGTTAAGATCCTGATTAGCAATAAACGACTTTGATTTTATTATGGATACAGTAACTTTCTATGCTGATATAAATAAATCATTTCAAATATGCTTGGAGCAACTTAATTAACCGGATACAGCCTGATATATACAGTTTAAAATTAGGGTCTTTTTATTTAATATAATAATAAATTGAAAGGTATTTATTTATTTGAACACATAAATTAGTACAAGGGGGAACCAAATATATGTGTGCCACACAATAACAATGAGGTTATGAAAGGATAAGGAATGTAGGGTGAGTATAATAAAAGAAGACCAACAATGAACGGAAACTAGTGTGTGAGAGTGAAATAATAATGGGAGAAACAGTTCAGTCAACAAAAATACAACTAGAAAAAATTGTTTCAGTTAAAGAAGTTACATTCACTTTCATGAAGGTAAAAGAAGGTTACAACACGATCGCCACTAGCTTCTGTTCTGAGCCATATCTGATGACATATCAAGCTCCTGTGTTGCACCATACCTAGAGCCCCGACCAGGGAGTCATGAACCAACAACAGAAGCTAGTCCTGTAAAGCTTTCTTTCATACCACGACACTATGTCGTGCACTGACCACCCCTCCTCTTTTTCCAACTGGTCATTGAATCGGCAAATAATACACGATGTGGAACTGACTGTGATGATATTCTTAAGACATGTCCAAGTCACCGAAGTCGATGTTTCAAGATGGTGTTAGCAATTCTTCGAAGACAACAATGACCAAGCACAGTAGGTGCTACCAGTCTTGTAAAAGTACTTTGCACTTGGAAGGTGTTAACCGCATGCCATACCTACGGACACTAACTGCTAACTGATTAAGTGCGGACTGCATGGTTTTGATATCATCGCACGGTAACACAATATCGTCCACACACTCAAGGCCAAAGTGTCGTTTTCCAGATGACAAATCCACACCACCATTACGTACATCCATCAGAGCTGTATCCAGAATCGCATCAATGGCAAAGTTGAAGACGAATCGTGAGATTGTGTAGCCTCCCCACTGCTTGAATAGAACAATGGAGAAAGGTGGTTGTATGCTCTCACTCTACCTGAGGTATTCGTATATAGGTCTCTTAAGTTGTGAATAAACTTCTCAAACAAACTCTTCTTTAATGGACAATTTCAGTCAACAGTCCTGTCCAAAGAAGTGAAGGGGGCAATAACGTTAAGAAACACTATGATTTTTGGCCTGTAATAAGAATGACAGTGTTCTAAACTTTGAAACGGTATGAAGATCGGATGGATGCATCCTCGACGAGAACGAAAACCATTACGTCTCTCGAGAACCAATATTTGCCGGGTTCTGAACTATGGTATGACTCTATAGAGGTGTGTTACGGTTGCGTTAAAAATTATTGGTATGCATTGAAAATCAAAGCTTGAATATATGCAACGTGAAAATGTGAGTGTTGCATGTATTTTCGAAGTCGTAAAAGCAATATGAGCTTAGTTGATGTGTCTATTACTTGAATAGTTATCATATTTTTTTATTGATATGGGCAGATGATGAGATATGGAAGAGAGAGTAAGATTGGTTATTGTATGGTATCCGATACAATTTATGACGATAAACAGTGTAATAAATACCTGTAATTTTGAAGTGAGATTTCATTTTAAAGTGAAAGTAAAACACAAAAACACATAACATAAAAACTAACGAACACATATAATTTACGAGGAAAGGAACGTAGATATAATACAAAAAATAACATTAATAAAAACACCAAACTTCGTAATATTTGTACATACTCATCTGTGGTTTCTGAAGTCTTTGGTAAATTAGTTGAGAATGTTGAACTACGTACATCACTCGATATATAACCACCACTCGCCAGCCGACTGTAGAAAAATACATTGAACAAATAAGTGGCTTGTTTTTGGAAACTTGTGAGCTTTTCGAAATACAAATATTTGAGATAGAAGTTAATTATAGCATCATTTAAAAGAGCTCCAGGTGCAAGACACTCAATATCATTATTGGTTATTGTTATACTGTCAGTAGACCCAGGAGGTTTGTAGTCGAACTTCCTATAATCAACAAGATTAAAATATACACACTGTTCATTTGACACTAAAATAAATGAAAGGTCCAACATTAATATACAATAGTGTTCTGTGCATACAAATTATATGTTTAGACGACTATTTATTTATTTAAACACATAAAAATACGTACAAGAAAGCACCAAATAGATATGCACTACATAAATTATTCGATTTGTGTGAGGGCTGAAATACTGCCCGGGCACCGAAACCGAAGCAGGTGGTTTTCTTAGGGGGCTACACCCAGAGCCTTTGACCTAAAGGTCTAAACCACAAGGCAGTGAAGAAATGTTAGGAAATGCATTCCTATGGTAGCCGGTGACCAACAATAGTTCCATGCCCTATTTGTTCCCTCAGAATCCTAGAGCCCATGTGCACCATTGATTTGGAATCAGGGTTTTCCAAATCTCCTAGGTGGGTGCTCCGTTTCCACTACCCGGTTAAAGTGTCAGACATCTGCTTTTCTTTCAGTTTCGTAAACAACACTCCTGCTGCGAGAAGGAAGCGAAAAGGACTTCCTTGGCAGTGGTTTTATGCATGTGGCCAAGTGAGTGAATTTCGAGAGGGAAAGTTGACTTTCCCCACTTTCAGCTGTACCAGGGCATTTGGGGGCTAGAAGTTGGCTTAGAAACTAAATCATTTAGTCGCAATAAAGTTTAGATACCAATCATCCTAAGATGATAATAACACAAATTACAAACAAATAATAACACAATTACACTAACTCCCTTGTCTATAATCGTGTTTAATATACTATGAATGATAGTTACTGACCAACAGAAATCATTTTTATTCGGTTGTAAAAAGGTGTTATTATAGTTAATGATGACAAAACAGCCAATAGAACTATAAGTGTTAATTTCACCGGTATGTGCGTCTATGTACATTTCTAATGACTTCTAATATTTATCATTCTATCAGTTGACTTGATGTTACATGATGATAACGTACAACGTTAAGCAACTTGGCAAGTGACAAAAAAAGTAAAATGTTATTATAATCACATACTTTAAGACTTACAAGGAATCGTCATCAGGATTCGTAGATGATTCAGTTTGAGGATTGCCACTGTTAGTCAAAGCAGATGACCTAGCATTCTGAATCCATTCGCCAGTATTTTCTTCACAGAGAATGATTAAATCGTCACATTCTTTATTACACTTCATAAAAAATTAAGAAAAAAGCATTGTAAGGAAATAGGGTCACTGTCAAGTGCTGAATAAATTAAGTTTAGATTGTGAAGCATTAGAGTCGAATAATAAAAGATACAATGGTGATCAGAGAAACCCAGTTAATTTAATCGAGCTTTTTCCTGAGAGTTGAAAGGTTTTCATATAGAAAAATTATGTCTCGTAATGAAAGCCAAGTCACAGGAAGACAAGAAGCTGAAGCTCCTTAAGACCTGTAAAACAACAATTTATATAAAAACATGACATCTCCAGGCAGTGTGAGAGACCGAGAGGACCATTTGAATAGTCACAAAGGTGATAAGATACAACAGCACTCGATAGAGTGGATAGAATAACCTTGTAGAATTTAATTGACACTATAAACCACCTGAGATTTTCACTATCACATGGAACTCCTACAACTTTTGTCAAGACAAGGCTGCTTAATCTCACAGTTTCCCTCTCTACTAGCTGTTGACTGGATTATCAACACCTCCACATCTCACGAAAAGCACGGAATTCATTGTACATGTTGAACACAGCTGAGTGATTTGAACTTTGTAGATTACTCAGTACTATTATCACATACACAGCAACAGATGCAGACAAAGATAGCCAGTGTAACAGCAGTCGCCTCGACAGGAGTATGTCTCAACATTTACGACGGAAAAAGCAAGACCCTTTAAATATAACACAGCGAGCACCAACCGAATCGCACTTGATGGAGAAGCTCCGGAAGAGGCGGGTGCCTTTATGTACCTAGGGAGTGTCATTTAAAAACAAGAGGGATCTTATGAAGTCGTGAAGACACATATTTGCAAAGCAAGGGTCAATATCCCTACAACCGAAGATCACCTGGAACTCACAACAAGCGTCACCTGAAACCAAATTCATAATCTTCAATACGAACGTCACGACATTTCTATTGCACTGAGCTGAAACTTGAAGAACTATTACAACCACAATCGAAAAGGTACATGTATTCACAAACAGCTGTCAACGCACGACACTCCAGATCCCTTGACCGGAGTCCATCAGCAATAACCTACTGAGACAGATAACAAACCAGCTTCCAACTGGAGAGGATTAGGAAAAGACTCTGGAAGAGGATAGGACACACATTAGAGAAATTATCAAACTGCGTCACGAGGCGATCCGTAATTCGGAAGTAAGAAGAGGCAGATCAAAGAACACAGTGCAGATAATTGGAGGAATACCTTAAGATAATGAGCAGCAGTTGGCAACAACTGTAAAGGAGAGGACAAGGTAGTTTTTTGTTGGTCCTTTGTGGGAGGCCTATGTCTTAAGAGAGAAAGCGAGCTTAATTAAAATCTGCACTACCCGATAACTGCAATAAGTGAATTGTTTTTATTTTATAAAATGATAAGAGAAAATCATGCAAAAAAAGTTCAATTTACTATTAGTTTGGTTCCGTAACTTTTTATCGAAAGACTGAAAGTCATTTAGGGATTTAATTTCTACATGCTTTTACGGGTAAGAACCAGCTTTTCTTTAACATCATCCGTCCTCAATCCACAGTCACTTAAGATATCAAGGACTTTGTCACTTGTCTAACAAACGTTTGTTTTATCAAATGGTTGCATAATAATTACAATCTATTCTCATTGAAAAGATAGTTTCTCTATAGAAAATGGTCATGTATTGACGTAAACATGACGATGTATTTCTTACAGATTTAAGGACGAGAAAGGTGAATTAATATTTTACAATTAATGGACACGTCAGTACAGACTTCTAGTGTGCTTTAGGATGAGGTCAGAAGTGGGAGGATATTTCACCGAAACAATTCTATTACTTACAATTAGTAAGTAGTTAATGTGCCAAATACTTTAAAAGTATTAGGTTGGCATACAAAATCAAGTGCAAACCACTAGTTGTTTTTGCTAACAGAATGTATATTTCAATACTTTTACCGTGAATTCTACCAGTTCATTTGACTTACCTAAGTTACCTGGGAGAAAGAGCATGATATCAATAGGATCAGTTTATTAGGTGGTAAAAAACTGACTAATATCAAATTATCAGAATGAGTTTTGTGGAGATTTTGGTAAATTTCACAGGTTAAAATCACGAGTCAGTTGAAGCTAGACCAGCATTGAAAACCTGAAAGCACTGGACGGCCGTCTCGCCCTAGCATGGGACTCCTCAGCAGTACGCATTAACGAACCCGCCTCCTGAGGGGCTCGAACCCATTACCTACTGGCTTCGCGCGCGAGCACTTAACCACTAGACCACTGAGCCGGCACCCAATGGTGTTAATGTCTAACTTCAACCAATCCACGAAGTTGCGCCATCGAACACCAATGTCTTCAGTGAGCTGATATCTCACAGGATCTCTCTCAGGAGGACATCCTGGAGTTCTAGTGAGAAGCCGTCACCAGTGGAGTTCAACCAGGTCTGTTGTGAGATATCAGTTCACTGAAGACATTGGTGTTCGATGGCGCAACTTCGTGGATTGGTTGAAGCTAGACATTAACACCATTGGGTGGCAGCTCAGTGGTCTAATGGTTAAGTGCTCGCGCGCGAAGCCAGTAGGTCCTGGGTTCGAGTCCCGCAGGAGGCGGTTTCGTTGATGCGCGCTACTGAGGAGTCTCATGCTAGGACGAAACGGCCGTCCAGTGCTTCCAGGTTTTCAATGCTGGTCTAGCTTCAACTGACTCATGATTTCAACCTGTAATATCAAATTCACCAAAATTTCGGCTCGTCTAGTATTCCAATATCCTAAGTCAACCTACCAACTTGTATAAATCCAATCGATAAAGCAGAGGACTAGATCTATTAAGATAGGTCCATTAAGCTAAAAATCCACTTTCTTTTCAACACGGGAAGCTGTGAAGGATTATTTAGACATTATACAGAAGGTTGATCGGAGCCACTAAAATGTTTAAATTTGATTAATAAACTGAATTATTGGCAATTCAATCACGCTGAAAACATGCCACACCAAGTGTTTTCATATCACATGATTTGCTATTGAAAAAGTACTTAATCACGACTGAAACAACGAGTTACATGCGTTTTTGTAGAAGAAGCCAGTTTACAATACTGATAGTTTTAAGAAGAATGAAAAAAACAAAGAAAACAAAAATCTAACATGTCATTCGGAAACAGTATTAACTAAGTCCTTAGTAGGATCCCAGACATAGAAATCCGATGCGCAACACACTGACCAGGAAGTTTAATGTTTTCGGAAAGTGGTAGCAACGACTATACACAATTACGATTTTTAAAAAATTCAATGAATAGGAGGACGAAAGACTTAATTGAAGACAATTTCAGGTGCAGGCTGGCAGTAACCACTGGTAATCAGCAAGTTACGTGCAGCTGTTTCATTTTTATTTAAGATTCATAAATATCTTCATAATGTAGAACATAATCAGTACGTCAATGATTAAAATACAGTTGTAACATCGATCTTGCATAAACTACTCAACTAGAAACTTATCCACCATTACAAGTAACACAATGCGAGATAAATGTAACAAGATTCTGAGTGAATAACCTAAATTTTGTGGTCAACGAATTAAGGAGTGAAAACATACCGAAAAAAGAGGATGAACAATATCGACACCACACAAAAATTAGAACAGGTTTATACTACTATTGGATTTACGATATGTGAAACGATCCTGTAACTTACTTCACCTATTGTCAGTTTTCCTTGGATAGTATTTCCGCTTTCCTGAGGAAGTGAACTTGAGTTATTTGTCAGTTGGATACCGGAATGAGTAAGAGTATTTATCACATCAGTCAGCAGACCTCCCTCATTTGTGTGTTTGTCAACTTGGGATGAACTAGATTCCAAATTTGAAATGGGATACTTGTCAGACTTGGTTTGAGTTTGATCGACTTGGTTAGAAATCTGAGACTCACGAAAAGTTGAATTAGTCCTTTTAGATTCAGCACGTGGCAGACGAAGGCCACAACTAGAAAGAATTTCTCTAGCCTTTTCTGCACTACAATTTATGTCACAAGATCCATTTTCACGAACTCGATTGGCTAAACCTTCGAGATCATCTACTGTTATATACAACAAGTCGCTAGCAGATGGTTCCCGGAATACCAAAATTAACCATTTGACGCTTGCTTTAAAATGAATAAATTGGAAGGGTTTGTCAAACCATATGATCAAAACACTTTCAAAAAAACTACCTCCCTAAATAAAAATGTTTATTAAAGAATCTAATAAAATTAGTTTTGTGTGGACAAAATAATGAGTAGAAACCATGTAGTTAGAAAACTAAGGATTTCATTAAGATTAAAGGAGAACGGTTATTACTGAACGCTTTTTGGTCTAGTCAACAAAGACTAAGTCACTGCTTGCTACAACGAATTTTGATGAACTAACCAGTGCTAAAGTACCCTATTTATGGGTCAGAAAGAAGTTAAATTTTTAATTTTTAGACTTTTGTCAACAGTAATGGATACTAACGGGTAGTGAGGACATAATCTGGTTGTGTAGCATGTGAGTTTGAAGATTCTTAAAAACATGACTGAGGTTAAAAATGGATGTTTCAAATGTGAGTTTACCTAGGGATTACACTGTTTATATATTAATCATCTGTTTGAAAAAAACATTAGTACAAAGGAGCATCAAAATACATATGCACCACATAAGGTAATTATCCCTAAATCTATGTGGTTTGGGATACTGTCCAGGTCTCCAAACCAAAGCAGATGACTTACTTAGGCAGCTAATCTCAAGCCTTTAGCCCAGAGGTTTAATCCACAAGGCGGTGAATCAACGTTAGGAGATGCGGCCTTCTGATAGCCGGTGGTCATGAATAGACTCAAACGTCATTTGTTCCCTTAGTAGCGTGGAACCTATATGCACCAATGATTTGGGATTACGGTCTTCCAGTTCCTCTAGGTAGAGCAGCCGTGCTCACTAACCCGGTTCAAGTGTCCGATGTTCACTTTTCGTCCTCACAATTTCATAAACACCCCGCCATGAGAAGAGAATGAGTAGACTCTGCATACACTAGACGGTAGTAGGGTATTTGGGGCAGCTAAGTTATCGTGACAGTATAATTGATCTGATCTGCAAAGAGAACTTGTAATTCTTCAGGCTATGTAACTAACCAATATCGTAGAAGATCAATTACAAATCTATTTACAAATAATCAAAATATTTAACAGTGGATATCCTTCTTGTATTAAATCATTCTATGAGCATTATGGTTTATATCTGTTGTAGGAGTAGCTGAGATATTGAGAAGTTTATGATCAGTTAGAGAAACGGAATCAAATGAGGCAGAAATGAATGAATTAACTACTGCATGTTCATTACTGATATCGACAATAACGAGGAAGGATGATGGTTGATGAATGTACGTACATTGGTCGATCATATAGTAGGGCGTGAACAAAGAATTGTGACTATGGAACTATGCTCAAAGTTCCGGATAGATGAAGCGAATAAATGTAACGATGATCAAATCAGTATACTATCCCTTTTTGAGACTATTACACAGAATATATTTCCTAGTACAGCTGGTCAAGCTCTAGGAGAATACTGAATAGGAACACAGGACATATCCCTACAAACTGGTAAGAAAACAAACTCATGTATCTTTAATAATGAAACTGGTATCCTATAAGCAGCTTTAAAGTACGTGGAATGGGTATGGTTATTACCTAAAAAACACTATTGTGCTAACCGGATAGACCCTTGTGGGTTAGTGAAAAGCGATTGCATGTACAATATATACTGGGTATGGTCAGAGTGCCAAGAGTTACAAGGGCTTTCGCTTGCATCGAATAATCGTTTGCGATGAGTAGATCACACCAAGTAGTAGCCACATAAGGTAAAAAGTAATGGAGTAGGGAATTTCTTATTATATTCATGGTGATTTAATCTATTGCTATTACAAATTTTATGCTGTTTGATTCCACTTTAAGCGTGTCATTCTACTGGTTCTCATGGTGTCCATGGATTTAGTAGTCAGGTCAGTTTATGATATAACGTCGAGAGTAGTGCTTACATATGAACTATTAGCTCATCACGACAGTTGGGTGATTAATATCTGTTTAGTTACCTAGATTACTAACGCATGATGAACACTTTACTGTTCGGTGAAGCTAAACAATATTATGGAGTTCGGTTACGTAACGGAAAATGAGTGCTCCTCAGTATGAAATCATATGATAACTGATCAAAAAACTCACGCAAAATCAATTCCTTGATTCTAAGCAATTCAGAAAGCTGTGTCTTGAAAGAAATAGATGGTTTGACGAAAATCACTTGGAGGGTTTCGCAGAAAACAAGCATTTCCATATTATTGTATTGGATGGTGACACTAGTCCACACGCCTGGGAAATAGAATACGTAAAAGGCTTACCTTCTACTTTAACTTTGCATGAAATGGAAGTTGAACTGATGCAACAATCTTCAGCACGGCCATCAAAAATCCCTGATCTTCCGATACTGAATATGTTAAGAGGAACAAGATGGTTGTTGTTGGCCATCCTTGATCTCTTCACCGATGGTGTACCATTGGATGATGGTATGACAGGTTCTGTTTTAGCAGAAGACTTCAGAGAGGTATCAGATAAATCAATAACTTTGTTGCACATAGTACACCTGAAGTCAGTGGGACAAGCAAGGCCGTGACAGTTTGGTTGAGGACACTTCCAAAACCTTTTATTTTTTTCTTCATGAACAGTTCTGTGGAAATAAATCTTTACAAACACGTAAAAACATACGGTGACTTCCCACCCAGCGCATCTTGGATCTCTCGTAACATCATAATCTGAAGGCCAATGAAACGCGCCTTCTAGGTCAAATTCAAGTTTTAATGAACGAATTCAATGCCAAGTGAGTGAACTAACCTTTTTCCTTGTTTTACTTGATTTCTCAGCTTCGAAAGTAGGTTCTCAATCTGCTGAAGTTTAAAACAACTCGTTTTACTCATTGAACAATTCTCTGAAATCAGGCAAACATCAAGGTTTCTAAATGTTCAGACGAGGTGTGGTTTAATGCATAACTGTTATATCATCCCGATATCGCTCTATCTGATTACTATTTATAAGGTCAAGATCATTTTGGAAAGTAGAATAAAGCTATTTAAAGTGGTATTACTGATAGAATTACGGATAAAATTTGGTGACCAATAGTTGTTGAGGAGAACAAAAACTATGGAATGGATTTTAATGAGAAACAAAAAAAAGAAAAAATTTCATATGGATAGGAAATTAATGGCATAAATCGCAACACAAATATTAAGTATCAGATTGTTAGATTCGGAGGCCCTATTTTCAAATAGAATGAAGATAGGTCGTTATCAACCGAGGGTTTCTAACACAACTAAAGCAATAAAAACAATCAGTTATCTAAGTTGTTCACTAAATGCTGGTAATAACATGCCACAGCTCAGTTGTGAGGATAATTGAGAGCATTTCAAAAGTAACAGTCATAACACGCAAAGTACTTCTTAAGGTGAGTAAAAACACACTAAATCATTTGGCATTGAACTCATGTCTGTCAGTTTCGATAGTAAAAATTAGTTTGAAGTGCTCTTCATGATCGTCTTCAGCCACGACTACTCTTATTCAATGCCATCTGTTCTTCAAAGGCGGGGGTCACAATGTTATGAGAGGAAATGAAAGTATTGACTGATCAATTTTTATATTGCACCTCAATTGTTTGTTCGAACTAAAAACTTCTTTGTTCATATCTTCGATCTTGAATGTTTTCAGCCCTATACTTTAATGGTTTGGCTTGAGTTAAAAGTCACTCTCTGTTTTAAACTACCTCACTTTAGTTTACCTGGCGTTGTAAGACTGAAGTGACAACAAGCATTCTGTGCCCGAACTCCTAGTTTGTATGCTGCCTTGATTCCCTGGTATACATGCATTTTCGACCATTGAATAGTCTTAAAAACATTCTTATTTGTATCTCACTTAGTTATTGACTGTTGTTATGTGTTGTGTAGTAAAATAAAAATTCTTAGTTGTTTCTGTGCTGATACTTAGGGCTGATAATAGTACTATTGAATCAACGAGTTTCAATTTGGATTCTGTAGGCATGTACGTTTTCCACAGAAATTACTAGGTCAAATGTTCTTCAGTTGAGCAGAATTTAAACGTAGCTCTAAATATTTTCAATGAGCAAGCAAAGTGGGAATCCAACATATTCATATGACACCCTAATTACATTCATCAGCGAAATAAACGAAGATGCAGCGAAGTTTAGAAGAATGGGTATGCTGTTTTTAGATCGACGCTTTCTATTTCTATAGATGAACATTGAAATTATTGAGTACATCACGATACTACTTAATTCCATAGACATTGCAGAAGATAGTAATCACAATCACATGTAGGGGAGATTTTTGAAGTTATTTCTCGACAGGCAAGGGATTGGTTTGAACAGTAACGGGATGCTCCATACAATTGGAGATAGTAATTACATTAAAGTCTGTAACGGAAAGAACACTATGAAATCTCTCCAAAGCATTTCATTGGGCAGTATTGTCATTTGTTTGTTCTTTTTACTTCTCACGTTTTCTAACCTCTGTTCAACTGCCTTTTAACTACACTTAACGTTCTCTAGTCAATCTTGTCCGGGAAAAAACTATTTGACCTTGGTTGAAGATTTACCGCATTACTAGATTATCTCGTTACATGTTTTCTGACCGATCATATTTAGAACTAATGAAAACAAGTTGGCTGGAAATTACAATATGAACACTCGTGTTATCATCAAACATCTCAACAATGATATTAGACAAAGCACAAACAACTCTAAAAACCTAAAGTTCATATCCGGATTCCCTTCTGGTTTCTATGGTATATCCTTGCTCCACTCCACGTCTTGTTGCTTTAATAGGTTTGAATTAGTCCAAAACAAATAATCCAGTTACACTGAACGGATGAAATATGTAGTGAAACCAAAATATGGGTCCGAACGGAATAAACTCAGAAATTCAACGGCATTCAAAACCATTCAAATAACTTCCTAAAATCTAAAGAATCAGATGAACTAAGTAAAGACCTTGTGTTGACTGAAAAACGAATGTATTGTGATTCGGAGCTTCCGATCAAACAACGGGTAAAACAGGACTTCTTAATTTGGAATAGGCGAATTTTATTTATATTTGTAAACTTGCCACCACATTGTTCTGTATGGTAATTATCATAAAAGATTCCGCAACAAATCTCAAATATTTGGGTCTTTAGAATAAGAAAGCAGAAAGAAAAACCGTTGGTAACAAACGAGTCAGAATTCGAAGTTCAAAATTGACTGAGATATACATATCAAGAACGGGTAAAGAGCGGCGTTATTTACAGTGGCAGTTTACGGTGGGTTGGATACTTCAGATATCTCCCATGACAATGTCTTAACAGGATGAAGCTGAATTTCTGACATTTATGTATCTTTATTGATAAATAACTTAACGGAAAATTGCTTTGTGAATTCGCTCAAGACGCTCGATTTGATTGTATTCGCGATTTTCTTAATTTCCTCTATTTTTCTGTGTGTTAACGTTTATCGAAAACAAGTACTGATAAGTCTTTATTTCACTTGACACAGGGTCGTGGAGTGTGGCTTACATTTTTTGTTGGTGGGATTAGTTCCTGCAGAGAGATGTTTGGTTACATTGTGTTGACTCTAAGGTACTTGAAAGTTATAGTTAGTAACCACTTTTCTTCGTAGTGTATCTCTCTATTCATCAATGGAACGTTTAAGTGTAGCACAGATGATATATTTCAAATTTCGACATTCGTTTTTGTATTATAGTGTGGCAAGAATGTAGCACCAAAGTCGTGGTTTGATACAACTGTTGACTATGAGTGATACAGATGGTCTTTGTGCCCTATGAAGATGAACACAGTGGTTAATCTCAGTCAGATTGATCGTAACATTATTTTCATCGTATTCTCTACTCAGAGCAAAATGTTTGAATCTTACTCATCAAAATTGGTTTTAAATGTGCACATCATAAAATCAACTGAGATAAATAAATGTTTATAGCTTGACAAAATATGAACCAGACCATCCATCTTTTTCAACTTACAATTGATCTACTGATTGTTATTAACGAAAGACCCAGTAAAAGCTAGCTTGGTAACTTTTTCGAGCAATCTAGCCGAGAATGTAGGTCTGAAACCGTTAAAATCAATCATTTCAAGGCATAGATTTAAAACTGCTTTAAAAATACTTCTACACACCTAGCTTATAGTATAATCGGAAAAGCTTTATAACGTTTCTGTGTTACAGAATAGAGACAATAGGTAGAATAACTTCAGTGCAAAGCTGCTGTCTTTTTGTTTGTATTTGTGGCTACATTTGATGACAATTTGTCATAAGATCTCGTTGCTAAATGGCAACGAACCTGTGACATCGTGACACTTCTTTGTGTTACATTTTATTTCAACTTTGTGCACTTTCAAAAGTTAAAAGTTATTCTGAATATATTTGCGAAGTTACATTTTGATTTCAAATCTAGGTTGATAGGTATTTTCCACTTTTCAGTACATGACATCTCAAAATCCTTGAGAATCCATAATCCATGTGCTGCTAGAACAGTTTTCTCTCAATCGCATAGTGGGCAGGTATGAATTAATACTCGGTCATACACTGAAATTAGACTAATGACTTAGCATTTCATGAAATAATATGAATAAAGCACATAAAAACTGTATTATCGTCAAATCTATTGTAACTACGCAAAAATTAAAGATACCATTAAAAGGTATTAAGTTTTTGTCTTCTTTACTGTGATTTCAGCCGTTGGTTACTATTTTGTTCTTCTTTTATGCTAGGACTAGGATAATGGCACAGATATTAGCTTTCATCAGGGTTGTAATCGTTATGCGTCTTCTTCAGGCTATAATAACTATTACTGGTCTGTAAATATTATCTTGTATGGTTAGATAAATAAGCCACCAAATTATCATATTCCAAGGATCAAATCAGACTCATGTATAAAAGGTACAGTTATGTGTGGCTTTCATCAGGGATTAAGCGAACATCTCAGTACTACTACTTCTATGAAAATCCAAACAAGGTTTTCATTCGTGTCAAAATTCTGTCGTCTATCTGTCGCCCAATGCTAATGGAGCTGCCAAGGTGAGTATCGTCAGTGTGCTGAACTACTTACCTCCATATGTTCAGACTAAAAACTGGCCCACTGTAGTTCTAAAGCATTTCGAATTGTTGTAGACCCAACTAACACTAATGTAGTCCTCAAGACATTCAGACGAGTTCATTTCACTGACGTCTTACTCAAACAGAAATATGCCACCTGAGTAATCTAAATTGAATGATCTCACATTGCCAGATTATTGTCTATCGAAGGTTGTCCTCGGGTGGAAGAGTTCATGTACCTATCCTGCAATAGTGTACGTCTTTTAAAATTTCTATCCACAACGTTCATACATCGAAACAGATCGAACAACGGACATTTACGACTAAGACTAACGTCTCGCAACGATGTGGAAAACAATGTCTTCTCGTTGTGTTCACCTATACTCTGATTATTTTACTACCGTCAAAGTAACTGTTTCTATGAATTCGGTGTCCAGCTTGTACTATTGAGGTGTCGCAACTTAGACTGATGCATATATGTGCCTGGACCTACGTTGTAGCGGACTGAAAGCGATGGCAACTCATTGATCCCAGCTCGGATAATGGAGACTGTTTCCCACAGATTTGCACAGATCGCAAGCTTTCTGAACTGTCCTGTCTTCCCTCCTCAACTTAAGTCTGGGCTCATGATGGCCATATTGCGACTAGCTACCGATGCCGCGGTCGCTTACAAGATTGTTTTCATTTTAGAGTATCTTCTTGGATTCCAGTCATGCGCTTTGCCGTTCAACAAATTTATCATTCCAAAAGATTGGTTGAAAAAGAATTGGCTGCACTTAGCATTGACAACAAACTGAGATAAGTCTAAGGGTGAGAGGTAATTCGTTGGAAAGTATAAATCAGCATGCACGCGCCTACAGAATCCCATTTAAATAAAGACTAGGTCCACTCACGGCTTCGTGAAACGTCCCGTTGGTGAATACTGCGTTCCTGTGAGGTTCTTACAACACGGCACGTCTATTACGGCAGATGGTTAGTTCAGCAATATATATAAGATTTCAAAACGTCTCCGTAATGATCATAAAACCTGGTGGGGACTCTCTATTTCACTTTGTTACTTATCATCCTGGTTCAAATTCCGTTTTTATGTATTCTTTCATTTACGTATTTCCGTATATTTTAAGTCTGGCTAAATTTGTTTATTTACTTAACTTGAACTTGTTTCCTATTTTTACTCTTTCCTATGTCAATTTTAGAGCTTTCCTTTTATGACTGCCTAATGATCTATTTTGTTACCTGACATCTGCTGGTTCAAGCCATCTATCTCTCTGGACAAAAGGTATTCATTTTTCATCAGAACATGTTCAGTTGGGGAAAACTGTATTATCCTCTGAAATTATTATACTTGTCTGATCTGATTAAACATATTTTACGTTACCATTGGACATAAGCTTTAAAGATTGTAAAAGAATGAAGTTTGTTAATTTTTAATATCTCGTCATATATATTTTTAATGATGGAGTAAATGAATCAGGTGGCGCTGGTAAAAATTTCGTCATTGTTTAAACCGGTCTAGTGTCTAAATTGTTTGTTTTAAACTTTCAAATTTCAAGGTCGAAGCCTGGGATATATTTCTGCGCTAGTCGTTTGACTGTTTATGTGGTTCATTAGGAAGCTTTATCCTTAGGGTTTCTCTTTACTTGTCTTTAAATTGTTTGCCATTCTACTATTTTTCGTTTGTAAATGCAAGTAGTTTTCAAGTGTCAGTGTTGTCATTGGTCTAAGTGTTATATATCCTTGCTTCCAGATTCTTACGGAGACGTACTTTTGTTGATATTCTAAACAGCAACCTCCTATCATTTTGTACACAAACCTTCATAAGAAGAGGCTTTCATTATCCTGATGTTTTATTCAGGTCGTCACTTGGTGTCTTTTGACGGAAAAGACCGGTAATGTCCTAGTTCATCCTTATCAATCGTTAATAGGATCTTAAACATAGATATCGAGCTAGGTTGTTCTTCAGACCTAAAAAAGGTAACCCTTCTCTTGATTAGATTTATGTCGAGTCAGGATCTAGAAATAAGATTGACAGATGACGATGACTTTTGTTTTCTTTATTTCATCAGAATTACCGTTGATGAGTTTACTGAGTATGTACTGATTCCACTTTCGATCTCATCACTTTTATAGAATTAAACAGCAGCAAGGTTTGCTCATTAATTTCAACGAATTTGAACAGAAAGTAGCAGATCTCTTGTGCATTTGTTCACAAGAGGAGGCTATCGAAACTCCGAAGTAAGCTGGTTATACCTGTCAACTTATTTTAGATATGGACTTCGGTTTTCCAGAAACACTGAGGAAAGAGATTGCGGTTTATTGCAAATAATTGAGGCCACCAATTTCAAATATCTTCACCATTTGAGTCTCAATTTGTATGCAGCTGATGACGAAAAGCTTAAACTATTTCTAGCTAGCCGTTTAAAAAAACATAAAGTACTTGTGTAGGTTTACTTTATTTTTAGGCTGAAAGCGATGCCATTATCAGGCAACTTAGCCATTCTGTATCCGAATTGACATCGTCTCTGAAATCTGCAGAGGAGGGTACGAAGTTAATAAAAGACGAGTTCCAAGCGTTCAAAGTAGCATGTTCAGCTAAAGAACTTAGTCTTCGCTCCGAGAATGAGTTTGCTATCAGGGAATTGCAATTGAAACATGATGAGGTTCAGCCTTTTGTCAATAGTTATAAATTCTTAGGTAAAAACGAAGTTAGAAGAATCTCTTTCCAAAGAAAAAGATTTAGCCAATCAAATACAAGAGGAGCTTCAAAAGGACTTTAAAAGTCGTTTGGATTTAGCATTGAACAATAACAAAGTGAGTATTTAGTAAGAGACCGTTATAAATTACTTCCTTTTTATTAGTTGAACTACGTAGTCTATGGTGACTTATTAAGTATTTTCATATATTTATAAGAGACTACTGGCTGAAACTCATTTTGTTTTCCCAAGAAAAGTTAACATTGCCACTTTTAAAACAGAACTTGACACTGACTATCGTAGATTCGACTTCATATTTCTATACTTACGGTCACAGGGAAGCTAGTTCATTTTCGTAACCAATTTGTTTTGCCTGTTACGTGTCATGTCTTTAGTCATCTATGGGACAGGACTTAGATCCTGTCAGAAATTTTCGATCCATCGATCAAATATTAATGCTTCCACAGGTTTCAAACAAGCATACCTCCTAATGGCCCCCAAATGCCCTGGTACGGCCGAGAGTGGGGAGAGTCCGCTCTCCCTCTCGAAATACTCTCACACGGCCGCGCGTATACAGCCTCTACCAGGGAAGTCCTACTCATTGCCTTCTCGTGGCGGGGGTGTTGTTTACGAAAATGAGAGGACGAAAAGCGAATGTCCGGCGCTTTAACCGGATTCCAAACCAATGGTGCACATGGGCTCCAGTATGCTGCGGGAACAAATGGCGTATGAACCAATTGCTGGTCACCGGCTTCCATGGGACTGCACCTCCTTACGATGCTCCACTGCCTTGTGGATCAGACCTTCAGGTCGAAGGCTCGGGGTGTGGTCCCCTAAGAAAACCACCTGCTTCGGTCTGGGCACCCGGGCAGTATCACAGCCCTCACACATATCGAATAAGATTTGTGTGGCGCATATGTATTTGATGCCTCTTTGTACCTCCTAATAGGGCACTTGACTGGATTGGTCGGTGGGTGAAAAAAATTGTTTGGAAACATTATCACCGAAATATTAGCAAGTGTATTAACTCATGTTTCACTGGAGTATAGATGAAAATGCACTGTTAAATTTTTATGGGACTTATCAAAATACATGGTCAGATATCGAAAGTCTGTCGCTTACCTTTAAAGGTTTTTAAGTTAATTCAAACGCACATAAAAATAGGTACAAGAAGGCACCAAATAGATATGCACTACATAAATTATTCGATTTGTGTGAGGGCTGAAATACTGCCCGGGCACCGAAACCGAAGCAGGTGGTTTTCTTAGGGGGCTACACCCAGAGCCTTTGACCTAAAGGTCTAAACCACAAGGCAGTGAAGAAATGTTAGGAAATGCATTCCTATGGTAGCCGGTGACCAACAATAGTTCCATGCCCTATTTGTTCCCTCAGAATCCTAGAGCCCATGTGCACCATTGATTTGGAATCAGGGTTTTCCAAATCTCCTAGGTGGGTGCTCCGTTTCCACTACCCGGTTAAAGTGTCAGACATCTGCTTTTCTTTCAGTTTCGTAAACAACACTCCTGCTGCGAGAAGGAAGCGAAAAGGACTTCCTTGGCAGTGGTTTTATGCATGTAGCCATGTGAGAGAGTTGACTCTCCACACTATCGACCATACCAGGGCATTTGGGGTAGTTACTTTTTCCATTGACTTAATTATATTTATTTACTAGTATCACCAAATTCTGTTTTAACTAGTTTGTTTGTACTATATCTTGGTTACTGACAGAAATGTGATTGCTATTATACGAATACAGGTGATTCAACTAGTATGCTAATTTTTTTAAAAGGTTTATTTTTTCATCGGATTCCCTTGCCCTGATTGTGCATCATATTTAAGTCCTTCGAATATTATCTTTGTGTGTTCGAACTTCCAAATATTCATTTAGCAATTTGTTTATTCTTAAACCGTGTCATGTCTAGTGATTTTTCGGGTTTCTTGTTTTGCTGTTACAAATGTAGTCGAGTTGATGAAAACATACCTATGTATTTCTAAAAACCTCGTTTCTACTATAAGATATATTTCATCCTAACTTTCCCCTTACAGTAGACATTCTTATTGTAGAAATCCTCGACTCATTATAACCTATTATGTTGGTTTCTTTCCCCATTCGTCTGTGACGTTTAATCACATTTCAAAAAGAAGTACTCTTATTGGCTATATCTGTTGGTCATAGACGTTTAACTATATGGTATTAATATGATATTCAGTTACTTATTTTGACTAGTTTTGGGGGTCAACTTGGTCCCCATCTATCGTTTTGGTGTTTTTACTTGGGTCTTCCAATCCACCATTTTCTTGTTAAAGTACCACGGTTTACGCTAACGTAACACACTAGTTCTCAGTCCTTTTAGTTTCTTTTAGACTACCCAATATGTGTCTCAGTGCTATGAAGTAGATTGATTCTCGTCCTTGATTTTAACATTGTTTTATCCATATCCATGGTATTACTGACATTCGTTAAATAAGGAAATAAATGTCTTTTGTTTTTCGTTGAGCAGAATCTACGGGATCAACAGTCTGTCCTTCAAACACGTGTAGAAACACTCCAGGAGAAACTAAAGTTTGCAGAAACTGAAAATATTTCTTTAACTGAAGATATCAAAAGTAGGTTTCACCCGTTTTTAATCAATTTTGTCAAAGCTTTATATATATATATATATATATATATATATATATATATATATATATATATATATATAAACTTGTGGCGATCTTAATGTGGTTCTTTATCACATTCATAAAACTAAAACAATCTCTTATTAACGGAAATAAGTACTTCTTTGTTGTTTTCCTACAAAACTGCTGAAATCTGTTTCCTTAAAAACTATCACTCCTGTTCATTTATTTACAGATTGTACGACCCTTCATTTATTTGGCGCATTTTTTGTGCCTCATTGTAAATAGTTAGAAAATCTTATTTGCTAGTCAAAAATTTTAAATCCCAAATGAAATCAGACTGTGTAGTATACATTTTATATTGGTGCTTGCTAGCTCTAAGCACCTCTTGGGATGTTCAACGTGTTACTTCTTTACTTTTTCTCAAGTCGCTATCTATAGTGATTTCTTTTTTCTAGATATTGTAAGACTTAGAAGTTTTTGCTGAGGGTTATCCTGAACTGACAGAGCTTTTTAGCAGCTAAGGCTATATCAAACTTATGTAATGCTGCTTGTTCAACTATTCACTGCCTTTTTAGCTTGGTCATCACAAAGACAATTCGAAGCTACATCATTTCTTATTCTTACGTCTTGGTTGGATGTGGTCAATTTAGTTTTCTGTAGCGTGGTCCGGTAAATCACATGACACAGTGTATGCCTTTATTGGAGAAATGCTGCCGTTTATGACGATGTTGTTGAAAGCACACAGACCTGCCAGTCTCACTACATTATCATCCCTTTTAAACAGTCCATATCGCCCTACGACGCCTTTATATTCGGTGTTGTCCATTCTAATCTTGGCATTTAGGTCTCCACCAGAATGATCAAGTGTTTTACGAGGAATTTTTTACAATGGAAAACAGCATCTCCAGGCGAAGTTTCTCTTTTTAATCTTTTTGTAAATAGTTTGGTCTTCATTACCTGGCAAAAGTAAACGACGTTTAAATTCTATATTCATCTTCGTATTAATTGGAAGTCTGCCCCACTTATTCTTATCATTAGTTTATATATGTTAAATTTTATTGTTAGTTGTACGTTCTCAATTGGATACAACCAACCGGGCATATGATCTACAAACAGAAATGGCTAATCAGTTACAAAGTAAAATATCTATATTAGAAGAAAATATGATTACCAAAGGTAAACAAATACTGGACTTAGAGAATTCGTTAACTAAAGAACACGAACAAAAGGTAATGTGTCATAACAAATTTACACATTACATAAGTTTTTTAAAATTCTGAGTCATAGTATTTGTATCTAGTTCAATATAATCGTATTCATTTACTTTCTAAATTATGCTACCTTTTCATTAGAACGCAGTAATACAGCAATTAAATCACTGCGGTGAAGTACAAACAAAAAGGTGCTACAGTTTTCCAAGGTTTTTTTAAAAACGAGTTGTCTTATCGTTTTATGAATTTATTCTGTAGTTGATAAATGTACTTTTTTACAACGTATGGTGGCAAGAGAATAAATTAATTTGAATTCTCGTAGTCACTATTCTATCAAAGCTTCATAGTCTCGGTCTCATTTATATTTGCTTATTCCTGGCCTACAAAATCAGGTTCACTGGGTCAAGTAACTCAGACCGTTTTTAGATATCTTTGTCAAGACTTGAATTTTTAACTTCGAGTAAGTCCAGTAGAAGTTTTGTGATAATAAAAGCATATTTATCATATCTGAAATGATAAAAGAAACGACTTACGCCAAGTCATGAATCATCGGAGATTCAGTTTTCTACACATTGGTTTATTACAATTTATTTTTTTGCTTATATTATTCTTATAACTCGGACAATTCTTTTTTTACAGGACCTCCATGCATTGTCTTCATAACATTTGCACCAATTCAAGTAAAATAAGTGGGTTAATAACTAACAGAATAGGTTTTTAAACATGGAACTATATGATTTAAGGGAAAGTGAATGTCTCGACTAAAGGTAAACTGGCTGGCTACCCATAGTTAATACTATGTTAGTTTCAGCAATTATAGACTAAAATGATTAGATGGAGCATAATAAATTTCTTTGTAATTGTATTCCTACACCAACTAAACTTAGTTATTACGTTGACACGTATAAACAAGCGATTGATATGCTCGCTACTAACATCTAATAATTTGACATAGGGATAAGGGAAGTCTGTTTCTTCAGCCCAGCTACATAATTTATTCCATAAAACCTCTAGATATTCTGTAATAAATCAGTTACAAGTTTAACGAATTGGACACTGTAAGCCTCCTAACAACTTTTTTCATGAAAATCCTACTGTAATGAACAAGAACACGGGTGGGGACAATCGAATGTATTTAACACGACAAGTACAGACTATCTCAATAAAATCTGAATACCATATAGTAAATTGTCAATTTGCAGAATATTCATGCATCAAACCAAACTGGACTGTTTCTGTTGCAAACACCAATCCGTTGTCTCCCATTCCATTGTTCATGCGTTTTCTCACAAATTCCATTGTGTTCTCGCTCTTCCTTTCTTGATCTTCCCCATTTTCTGCTGCCAGACATCACGTTCCTTTAACTCACGTTATATACTACTCATATCAATATAAGTAGCTCACGCCACACTACTACTTTTTGTAAGTTTGTTTCACAAGTGCTCGTTCACTTTATAGATGTTTGTTCTCACTTCTCCCTAGATAAGCATCATTAAATATATGATTCATTTCACCCCTTTGATCTTTGGTTTTCATGACTAACCTATATTTATTCATTTACGAATATGCTTAAATTTAACAGAACTTGTTGAAGCCTTGAATATCAATACTATATCTAAAATGATGTCTCTACGGGATAGAGGATACAGCCGTCATTAAATTAACAGCATTTGAAAGTTCGTCACTCATCTTTGTATAGTTTTGCGTATCTTTAGCAAATTCCCTACTTAATTATTCTGATTGTTTCATAATGTATATATATTGCATTTTTAATAAAAAGGTTTTAAATGAAAAATGTTCGGATAATTTATGTAGATTATACAGTTGCTCATAATATTCTCTTTTGTTTAGTTGCATTTACTTGAACAATCAGAACAACATTGTCGTAACATACAAAATTTGGAGAAACATTTAGCTTCGAATACAGAGGAAATAAATAAATCCAATGAAATCATTAAACGCTTACAAAGTGAAGTCAGGAGTTTCCAAACAAAGGTAATGAAAGTTTTAAGGATTGTTTACAGTAATAATATACTATTATCATCATGCCTCTTCATAAGTTCAAAATATCAAGAAAATTAATAAGACGATTTTATGGTGTTGTATTGAAACTTTTTCTTCGAAATGTGAAAAAATGAACAACTAAGAAAATGTTTTTACTATTAAGAAGGCTCCTAGTAGTATGCTCTATTTTGGATGCTCATGAACATAAATATTCAGATTGAGTACGTCTTTGTTAGAAAATTCTCCGTGATAAATTATATACTCTCTTTCAATAGAAGAGTAGTGATGTAATTCATCAAAAAAGTGCAGATTTATGTACACTGTTTAATGCCATGGTGTATGAAGTCTATTAATACTACCCAACTTGTCCAGTCCAAATTAAATTGGTCAGGGTTCGAGCCCATAACTTACTGGTTAAAAGTCGTGTACTTTAGCAACTAAGCCGTTTCTTTACATATTTTCTTTTTATACAAACTATCAGTTACGTCACCCTATTCTGTAGGTTAAATCCAATTACTCTTTATTAAGTCGATGTTATTACCTGCCTGGTCGACAAACACTTGTCGTGTCTCATTAATTCGCGAAAGTGAAAAATATGACTGAAAGTAATATCTAACTTTACGTTGACTTACTTGAAGTCTCCATATTCCAACAAAAATGATCAACCTTGTGGGACAGAATCAGTTGTAGAGTGTGGCACATTTAATTCACATCATAATTTCCTTTTAAAAATAAATAAGGTACGCTGGATTCGTTATTTTGTCGTATTCTCGGCAGCAGAATTTAAGTTAACACGCTCGAACATCTTCAATGATCAACAAGTAGTAACATGAGAACTTATTCAAAAATAGAAAACTATTTTAAATGCTAAATTAATGTTTAGTTCTAATTGAAGAGGTTTTGGTAAGTTGTTGTAAACTAAGCTTTGGTTCAGTAGTTAATGGATTTATCTTTCAACTCAGTAGGTCATACAATCAAAATCCACTCCCTCTTCAGTTAGGGCAACATAATATATTCATCTCATCTGCTCTGAAAGAAGTAATACGGCTTAAAAATAAATAAATGACTCTGTATTAACAAATGAGTTACTTTTTTAATTGAACTATCAATGTAATGGTTTTGTACTGTTTGATTTTATTGTCCAACATTGACATACAAACTACTAACAAGGAATAGTGATAGCATCAGAATTAATTATATTTGGAACAGTAAAAGAGAATAATTACGTTTTTAATTTGTGTTACTAAGGCACTGAAAGATTAAAAGATAACATTTTATTATTAAAAATTAGTATTTAGCTCCTGATTGCCTTGGTTTTCGAAAACAGAGAAACACAGTTCACTAATTATTGTAAATGTGCATATTACATTTATCTGGTGTTTTATATTTAGTAGATGGTGAACAATCTAACTAATATCATCACTTATCTACTTCAAATGTATGTAGACTCTTCAGTACATGTATATACCTTATTCTTCGTCATTCTGAATGACTTCTTTATGAGTACACATTTACAAATTTCTTTATGTCACTAACCAACATCTCGCGTGGAAAGGGAAACTAGCTTTGACGCGAAAAATACAGTTTTCAGTCTTCGTCTAATTTCACCGAATACTTAATAATCCTTGAATACGTTCCTTCCGAGTTTATTTGTTCATGTTCTTGTGCCTGTGTGTCGCGCATATATATTTGGCGCACTCTTTTACCAATATGTATGTGCTCAAATAAATAAATAAATCTTGTGCCAGTATTCACCACCGTATTTCTGTACAAACCTATAAAATAATCATTTTTCGAATGCACGATTGTTATTGGTTCCTGCATTTTTCTCATAAGATCACGTAATTCCTTAGTGTAAATATCGGAATTACTTGCAGAGCACTCACCTGGTCCTCTGGTGTTCTTGTTTGAGGTGTAAAAAACGTAAAAACATTAGTGCTATCTTTTGATCGTGCTACGAATAAACTACTGAAGTTAGTCTATTTATTGTGATTGAAGTTTCTTCTTTGCGGATAGTTTAAATTGTCTGAAAGATTCAAGAAATGTAGTGTTTGATTTTATATTGACCCATTGTTGTGGAGTAAGATTTTCGACTGTCAAAATCGATTAATGAAATGCTAATCGATAGATCAATGGAATGGTGCGATATGGCCGAGTGATGGATGCTCATGTGACCGTATTATTGATTCAAATGATTAGAAACCAAAGACAATACTACTAGCTAGGCGACTAGATTCTCATACAATGAAATAGAATGCTTATATACAAAATATAAACACAAAATAAATATGATGAAATAGCATTGGCTACTAGAGGAAATGAGTTCATCCGACCAATTAAGGCCTGACTATGATGCTTAATTCTTCGGCACCGTGTCGACCATACTTATGGTATTTTGAAGACGATTGCTATGAAGAATCTTCTTTTGTGAATGTGCAAAATTCAGTGGATAAGTTAGTGGTATCGTGTCGCGGAATAAATGAATTTAGTTGGGTTCTTAAGAAAAGCATTTCCGGTACGAATATTCGTCAATATTTGAACGAATAGTTTTACTGAAATTGGGCGTCGGGTATAGAAAAGATATTATTTGTAGAAATTATATTTGAAATAATCTCAAAGATTGAAATCCAAACAATCCGATTTTCCGTCCCGCAGACTTGTCTGGACTTCTTCAGGGCAATAATCAGAATCAAAATTATCAAAGAAGATATAATATTTAACAGTCCAATCAAATGTGTGTTATGCTCATCCAATCATATTCAAATACCATATTATCAGCGTTGGCGAGACTAATTTACGGACGGACCAATCGGGTTTAAGATAGCAGATCTTTGATTTAGGCGCGAAATTCATTCAATCATTTGGTTAGATACCATTTTGGCATTATGGCTGGTCAGATCGTGATAGAACTAGATTGCTTTGATAATCAAATCCTTGAATCTAGATCTAAACGTTAGCACCGTTAAACTTCAGTCGAATCATAGCATTTCAGACAAGTCAGTTTTTTATTCGTTGAGCTTCCATTTTAGTCGTTTGTATCGGTTCCATTATATTACCGTTCGGTACAGTAATTCATACAATTATTTACAACTAGGATGTTTTATTCTATACAACGTTACATTTAAATAATAATGTAAACATTTAGATATTCATTTGTCTTAGGCTAAATTACGAGGTCAAGTAGCAGCGGAACAGGAGCGTTTACTAGTTTCCAAAGACTCTGAAATTCAGAGACTACATACCGAACTAGACAAATTAAGATCGGAAATCACGAATGTCAAAAAGCTCAACACTCAGATTGTTGAAGAGCATGATCAAACCTTGCAAAGTTTAACAGATGCTCAGAAAACAATCAAGTCCAATGAAATAAGTAAGTTATGGAAAACTGACTACGATTCATTTTTATATAACGAAAGAACAATGAATATTTTATCGTACACAATGTATTCATATGTATGTATACCACAGCTCGCGTTGAAATTCTTCATTTTTAGTTTTGTGCTTATTTGACCGATTTCATGGTGTAAAACTATCTTTCCTGATATTCATCTTTAATAAAGATAGTATCTGCTATCACCTCTTAGTGAGAAATTACCGAAGTAGTGCACCTACATTTTAAAATTTTGAGCAGGTCTATCTAAACGCTCGACGGCCATCTATGCATGTCACTTATTGCGAAATCACAACGGATTTCTGTAAAGTATGAAAGTCTCAAAATAATAATTTTGAAATCAGTGGTGTGTGTGATGGGTTTTTAGCAAGTATCATTTACATCTTGCATTGGATTCTAAAATTATTATTTTGTTGGAAATTTAAGTAGCGTGATCTAGTGGTTTTATTTTTGTTTAATCTATTTTTTTTTATCCAAACTATTATGTTATGTCATACGTTTAGTAGATTGAGTATTAATTCAATGAAATCTATTATCCAAAAACGAATCGGTGCAATGAGAACTTGAGGTTGGGCCTTAATATCTTATGATGCAAAAAATTTGTTGTATTTACATTTCACAATGACAACAGGAAATGTAGCCTATACAAATTCAAGAATTCAGATGATTGTCTAGATATTATGACTACAAATTAGTGTGAATTAAAGATGAACAGCGTGAATTGTTCATTTAACTTTTCTTTTCACAAATATTCAATCATAATTTGGATTGATCTTGATAGTTTTCTATACATTGCTAATTAGTTGTTCTAATTCACTATGAATGGCCGATTGTTAAATACTGTTCAAATGCTGGCCTTCTATCATAACAGCCAGATATCATGATATTGATCATTAATACTTAATTTTATGTAATTAATTTAGATCGACTCATGATTTCAACTGTGAAAATACTAGTCTCCGCAAATGCTCCTACTTATAACAATCATGTGCTCACTAGTGACTAGCTTAATGATTTAACTTGGAGTTTCAGTAAGAAGCCGTGACCAGTGGAGTCCAATCTGTGTCAGGTGTGAGACAGTTATCCACCTCAGGCAATGGATGAAGGTTGCGCAAGATCATGGGTTGATTGAAGTTGAATGCCGGCTTGGCGGTTTAGAGCTTAAGCGTTCGCGCGCACGACTGAAGATCCTAGATTCGAGTCCCGCGTGCGGGATCTTGGATGCGCACTGCTGATAAGACCCGTACTAGGACGGATCGGTCGTCCATTGCTTTCATGTTTTCGATGGTGATCTGGCTTAGATCGACTCGTGAGTTCAACTGTGAAAATGCTGCGATCTCTACAAATATCAAATAGGCTGGATATGTTCATCTGATTCTCACTATTTTTTCGTCGCAATGTATTATTCTCTTTCGTATTTGTCAAAAATCATTGGTTGGTATCTTGGACAGCAGTGAAAAAATTCCACTGATATATCTTTCACTTAATCAGGACAAAATACATCGAAAAATTTAGAGTACCAGTGATACTTCTTGTACTGAAAAGGTTTTGAGTGTCTTGGTCACCATAACATAGGTAATCCACAAAATTGAATCATTATTTTCGTAATTCACCACCCTAAATTTAAGTGAACCATTCATTTACTGATCATAGATTCTTGTTCTGTGTTTTTAAATTTCGCTTTAGTTATGAAGACTAGTAACACAACTTGGTTGTCTAGATCTATGTCGGTTTGAGGGAGTTCAAAACTGTAGCCTAGTTATCAACGGTCGAGCCATAGCACCTCAAGCAGAACGTTAGTGGTAGAAACTTTATAAATAGAATTTTTTCCCGATTTTCGAAAATCTGCGAATTTCGAGCTTTAGTTTCCTATTCTGTAAGAAGTTAATTATCAATCTATATCGATAAATGATATGCTTACAAGGACCTAATAACACTCTTATTTGTAAATCTATATTGATATCACGTCTTTTGTCCATTCATTTTAAATACACTAGTTAGTTATAGTGTTACTCTTAATACTCTCGTATTCAGTGTTTCTGTAATTATCACTAGATTTACACCTACCGCGTTATAAATGTATTGTCTTTTTTCTAGAGATCGTGGAAGACAATTTGTTTCTTCATGCATTAGCCCGCGTTGAATAGGTACTTTTGTTAGATATATTGACATTTTCTGTTGATAAATAGAAATCTGCAATGTGAAATTTTAGAATATTATTATTTTTTCTTCCAGCGTTGTTATTGTTCTTTTGATTCCCATCATATGTATGACTACTTCTACTCTTTCCCTGTCTACCGTATTATGGTAAAACGTTCCATTTGTGTGGAATTCTTGACATTACAGATACGCCTGAGTTATTGGTTATTAAAAATCAGTTGAATATAGTGTAAAATGAAGTCATTTAAAGAAAGTATAACCAAATTACAGAACACTAGCTTTAGATAACTATTACAAAACTTGGGACGGTTCCTTTTTCACAGATATAATTAATATGCGGTTGGTTACGAACACCTTGATTGGATCTTTTGTGGCCAACAGATGCGCACATTACTCAAAAATCCTTGCATAAAAAGAACAGTTTTACTTTGTTTATGCTTGTCTTAAAGTTTACCAAGCTACGTTTTTGAACATTTATGATAATGTACAGAAGACTTCGTCACCTAAGAAAACTATTGGGACCATAACAAAGGTTTTTAATAATAATAATATTAAACAATAAGTTGGTGTCTCGTTTAACCGTTATAAGGATTTTTATCAAGAACATGATTATTCTTTAATTTTACTAAATGTTTCGCAGTTATCGCTTGGTTGAATCGCCAGATTGCCGAGAACGATTCAGATTATGTACAAAATCGCTTGAAGCTTTCAGCGTTCCCAGTAATAAGTGTGTCTTCTGGAGTAGTTGGTCCTCCTCCTACTATTAATTCAGTTACAGTTGTCTCTTCTGGAAGTGAGAAACCCTCAGCATTCGAAACTACTCCTTCATACATCCCATTAACGCAGAATTCACAAGCTTCTCATGTAGTCCCTTTATTTGATACACATACATCTGTCATGGTGTCTTCATCTTCAAATAGCAACATCTTGCAAACAGTTGACAAAAGACTCATAGAACCACCCAACAGTTCGAAAAATAATTTATATGTGAAAATTATTTCTTCTGCAATGGATAATACGGTAAGAATCATTTTATTGTCAACTGAGAAGAGTAATAACATTAATGAATATTTCTTCTCGTGAAGATATACTTACTAAGGGAATCCAACATGTTAACTCTCAGCTCAGCTTTATCGAGATTTATGTATTCGATGAGTATCTAAGTTACATAACTCGTGTTCACTCCTTTTACAATTAGGTCGAAATCTCTTATTGGGAAAGCGTTTATTTATTAAAAATTTCCTTGTATTCTCAATCATTTATGTACGTACAAACCTTTCAAACACCACTGTCAGTATGAAAATTCACACTTCTGAAAATGTTTGCGAAATTTAATATTTTTCCGTACTTCATTTATTGCAATGCTAGTTTTTCTTGACTTAAAAGCAGTATTTGACTCTGTAGACCGAGAGGTTCTGTGGCAGTGTGTCATTGAAGGGTGTACCTCAGAAGTACATAAACTTTGTAAAGACTCTTTGCTCAAAAACTACCAGTTGAGTCGAGCTTGTCGTGAACTGTCATCTGACCTCGTAATCTCAAGTGGTGTCCGTCAGTGTTGTCCACTATCTCCATTTCTGTTTAAATTCATCATAGACCTAGTGCTGGAAAAAACGTTCTCGTCGACTGAATTTTTAAGAGTTGATCTCCTACCAGGAGCTTCACTTATCGACTTAGAATACGCAGATGACATAATCGTGTTTGGTGAAGACGCTGACAAAATGCAGAGTCTTTTGGTGACACGGAGTAACAATGCCAGGATGTTTGGAATGCGTTTCTCTCCCTCTAAATGCACGTTGTTGCTTCAGGACAGGACTGCGTCAACACTTGAACTAAGGATAGGGAGTGAATTAGTCAAACGCATCGACAGCTTCACTTATCTTGGAGTCTGACCAGCCGTAATGGATTAATGCCTGACGAAATCTCTGCTCTTGAGATGATGGAGAAGATTTTTAGCTCAGGTGGATGATTTTGATGGAGCTGGGTGGTTTGATCGTGGAGCTTTCATCGTTCTTCTGAACGACATCATCAGCACAAACTTCAGATAGAAGTGAAGTGTTTGAATTTCTCCATATGCGTTTCACAGCTTGTTCTGTACACCTCGACGTTGATTGGTTCTTATTTACTTCTTTGTTTTGGTTGTCTCTCGTTGGTTTGATTTTTGTTCCTATATTTTTGCATAAATTTTCTGATTGGTTGATAAATTGGATCCATTTCAATGTGCTTGTTGATTGCTGATTGACCTGAGTGCCACGATTGTAAAAATTCTCTTGTGTTTTTGGAATTTCCTATGTCCGAGATTTCCACATTTTTCCAATCGAATGTGTCCGCAGTTGTCCACGTGTATTGATATAAGTGAGGAAGTATCATAGCGTTTGACTGCTAATTGATGTTCATGTAGGCGAAAGTGAAGGTGGCGTTCGCTTTGTCCGATGTAATGTTTTTCGCAATTGGAACAATTTATTTTGTAGATGATATTTGATTTGTCTTCCTTTGTTATTTCATCCAGTCGGCGTCGAGGTGTACAGAACAAGCTGTGAAACGCATATGGAGAAATTTAAACACTTCACTTCTATCTGAAGTTTGTGCTGATGATGTCGTTCAGAAGAACGATGAAAGCTCCACGACCAAACCATCCAGCTCAGAGAACAAAACTCCATCGAGATCTCTGCTCGTTTGGTACTTTACAACTTACCTCACCTATACGAATATTCGTCAACATTAGAAGGAATAGTTTGACAGAAATTGGGCACCGAGTATAGAGAAGTAATTATATGTGAAAATTATATTTGAGATCATCTCAGCGATTGAAATTTAAATAATTCCAACGTTTCGTCTAGACAAGTTAGCTTTTTCACATATAATTACGTCACCTATAGTGGAAGCAACATATCCATCTGTCAATTAATGGACGAGAATACTGTGCGGCAGTTTGATCTGTTCTACTTTAAGGTTGCGAAACGTGGCCATTAAGAGTAAAAGATACTCGTAAGCTACTAGTATTTGATCACAAATGTGTTATAAATATTGCTCGCATCTGCTGGAATCATCGGGCAAGTGATATTGAGGTTAGACTCAGGGTATTAAGTAATGATGGTAAATCAGTGGATGAGGTTGTAAATCTTCATCGACTGAGATGGTTGGGCCACGTGTTACGTATGCGTGAACACCGCTTACCACGACGCGCAACGCTGACTAGTGTTGGAGATGCCTGGAATAAAGTTAGGGGCGGCCAAACCAAAATGTTACATCAGTCGTTGAAGTCACTAACTTCTGGTCTGAGCCATGTTGGTAGATGCAGACTACTTGGTTGAGATCCGCATGACTATCGTAACCAATGGTTGGAGACTGGGTGACATGGCTCAGAATCGATCACAATGGCATAGGTGTATGCACTCTTTGTCTTTCCTTAAACCGTGCGTTCGAAATTGCTTTATACCTTTCTTTCTACCAACTAATTCTTTCTTCCTGTATTATATCCTTATACGCAATCTTTCTTTTATACATTGCTACCATTGAGGTGACTATTTCTATGGATTTGGTGTTCATCTTGTTGTGCTAATTAGGTGTGGTAAGTTGGAGTGATGCATATATGTGCCTGGTTCCACGTTGTCGCTGACTGACCAACTGGTGGGAATCTCTATATGTTCAGATGGTACAATCATCATTAAATTTTACCAAGTCCTCCGTCAATAGACCGGAAGGAGAGCACTATTCACAAATTACTAACTCAAATTCAGAAAAAGTGCATCACAATGGAAATCCTATATCATGCGACAGCGTAGTAACTCCAAACAATGACATAGCAAATTTAATGGGATTTTGAAGTCAAAGAAAATTCAAAACCAACCAAATCACTATGATTATAATTTCCAGAAAACACTTTGAGTTCAAAATTCGTCCAGAGTTGCTCTACATTCACCGAGTATACAGTGTGTCTATCTGATTAGCTTCCATAATCCATAAGCAAACTAAGGAGAACCATTGAAAATCTCACTTACAGTAAATTACATACAATTACTCTGTCTGAAGATGCCTCTGTCTACTCTCTGTTGACCAGTAACCTTCTTCATACGTAGTAACATTTATTTTCAGAGCTGTGTAACAATTCTATATTGTGGAAGAACTGGTCTAATTTATGTCGGTTGGTAAGGTCTACGCATCTATGGACAGCCTTTTTATGTTGTCTTGTAGTTCAGAAACACCACTAATGAAAATACGAGTTAAAATCGCGCAGCAGTTTCTTAACTACTTTGAGGAATTGTGCATGCAAGTAGCAGAACAAGACTTAGTTATTATCAGTACAGAGTGTCATGAGTTGAGAGATGGGGGGTGGGAGAGACTTAAGCCCCAACATTTCATGTATCGTTTCCATTATACTGAAGATAAAATCTATAAATGGTGTAAAAGGTCCATGAATACAAAAATATCAAATGTAAAATTTGAAAGTTAAATACAATGTCCCAACAAGGAACAGATTCGAAGCTCATCATTAGGTGTGCCTGGGTTCAGTTGTTTTGGGGTTTGATTCTAGGGGTAGGAAGTGTTGGGACTAAGAACAAATGCCTGGGAGTTTTTAGGACTAGAATATAATTTATAGACAAACCAATCAGATTTAGATAATTAAAATAACCTATAGTGTCACTGAATAAGAAAAAGAGAATTCTGCGAAGAAAATTTTCTTTTCGACGAAATCATTTACTTAAGCTGTACATTCGTATATATAGGTATATGGAAAATGTATGTCTATAGGAGGATAGAAAAAATTGCATCACCAAAATGAATTCGATGATAAATAACAAATGAGGTTACGTACTAATCAAGGGGTAAGGATTTAATATAACAAGTCTTGGATTTTGTCACAAAATTGATGCATCATTGTGGCTGAATAGCAATTATGTCATCATAGCTGATGTCAGTTTAAACTCCTGATCCAGGCGGGTATCCTCAATTTTACTTCAAGGTTGCTCAAAAGTCGTACATTAATTATGGCCTTACTGATTAAGGGTTAGGAGCCGAGGCTTAGAATTTTCAGGGTTGTTGGAATTTAATCCATGTAGAGCTCATAATTAGGGTCTCTTGATAACAGAACAATTATATCTTGTTTGGATTATTAAAATTTAGCATTAACAAGTTTAGTTATTATTTTAAAAATTCTAATCCTCTGTATCTCTATCGCTTTTACATGATGTGGGGATTATAGTGACATATACGTTCAGCAATATTTATAGCGATAGAGACAAGTACCATTTACATTTTTATTTCTGACACTTTATGTGAGGCTACATTTATATTCAATGTTTATTGTTTATTTGTATCGACTATGAAACGGACAATATTAATTTGTTGTTTTGGCACACTCGCTACTGTTGATATCTAAATAAATGCTCTCCGTCGTCTATTCTTCTGTTCTACTGACCATGGTCTGTTACTGAATTAAATGATGGTGTTATTGCTTCTCTTTTGACGGTTCTACACCACGTGTGGCTCTCGGCCTAGGTTATTATTAGAAGTTAGTGACTTCAACGACTGATGTAACATTTTGGTTTGGCCGCCCCTAACTTTATTCCAGGCATCTCCAACACTAGTCAGCGTTGCGCGTCGTGGTAAGCGGTGTTCACGCATACGTAACACGTGGCCCAACCATCTCAGTCGATGAAGATTTACAACCTCATCCACTGATTTACCATCATTACTTAATACCCTGAGTCTAACCTCAATATCACTTGCCCGATGATTCCAGCAGATGCGAGCAATATTTATAACACATTTGTGATCAAATACTAGTAGCTTACGAGTATCTTTTACTCTTAATGGCCACGTTTCGCAACCTTAAAGTAGAACAGATCGAACTGCCGCACAGTATTCTCGTCCATTAATTGACAGATGGATATCTCGCCTTTGTTATAGGCGACGTAAGTTGGCAGATGTCAAACGAGCATTTTGAATCCGTTCAGAAACTTTCATCCACCCAATACTAGTCACATTTTTATAGTAATTGATGGGACGGTTTTGAAAATCATAGTGCTCATCATATTTTGGATTGTTAAAATGAATGAACAGAATGCTATTTGATAGACAATGCCCAGTGATATATAGTTTGGTTGGTTGAATTATTGATGGGACGCGAACGGTGAGCAAACTTGTTTTTGTCCTAGAAAATTGACTCAGTTATATACAAAGGGAAATTCGATTAACGGTTATTCAGAACACGGATATTTTGAAGACAGGGATTTCGTAGTACAAGTAATGAGTTTATGAAATTAAGACCTAATTATCATGAATTATTTCTGTCATTTGTTTAAATAATACAATTGTATCTGACATCGTTTTTCATCAAGATCATACCAGATTTGTACTTTAATGCCTTACCCTCTGAAATCGATACTTTCTTGAATGTTGTGACTGTTTTTTGCTTTTACCATAGAATCTCCCATCTACAGTACTTACTACTCACCTGCCAATATCCACTTCGAGCTGTGTGATCCCTAAAGAAAATAGTGAGTTATTCCGTGTTACAGATACACTTAATTGTAAGTTGTTCACTCGATTACGTCATGTTTCTTATTTATTTTATCGTTCGTTTAGGAAATAAAATATTCATCGAGCTCAATGTTTTAAAGTACGAAATAGCAATGCTACTAATCTCACTGTACCTAGAGTAATGTTATGGAACAAGTAGATGTGAGAATCTAGACTACATTTTCATTTTTTAAACGAAACTTTTCAGACTTAACATACATCTTTTATCACAGTATTTTTGGGCACTGAATTCGTGATATTAATATATTTTAAATAGGTATTATATGATCTAGTAGAATATTCTCAATAAAATGTGACTACGAAAGTTAGTGTTCACAGTGTCTTCAACACAGGTTCCTAAGTTATGGATACAATGGGTTTAATGCCAGTTAACTGTAAAAACAATCAAGGTTAAAATATGTATTATCGAGTGTGTTTCTTCCAAATAAATTGGGTGCAACTGAATGTGTCCAGGGGAATATCACTTTACAGCAACATTACGGAAAGTTAGTCGTCTCCCTAAAATTACAGGAAAAAAATCAGTTTAATATTGATATTTTCATCGACCTGAACGAAGGACTGCAGTGCTAAGACAACAGCTGTTTAAAAGTTACCAAATGCATACTTTTTATGGTGATGTTTACATTCAGTCTCGAATTTGTTCTATTTCAAAGCGTGCCACCACCTCTTCAAAATTCTTTAAGGGAAGGTGTTAGGTTTTTCTGAACCTCTATCGATATAGTTAGACAAAATCAAGGCGTATGACCACCATCGAACTTTGGTTTCTTCGCTCAAATGTTCTGGAAAATAAAGAAACAATTGTAAGTGGTCTCGACCACCACATCAGTTGCTACTACGAAGTGTAGGGAGAGTGAATCATTTACAGTCAGTCAGCTACAACGTAGGACCAGGCACATTTATGCATCGGTCCAAGTTGCCATACCTCATTAACACAACAAGATGGACACCGGATTCATAAAAGTAGTTAATTCAGAGGTGGTAGTATATAAAAGAAAGATTGCAATAGGATATAGTACAGGAAGAAAGAATTAGTTCGCAGAAAGAAGGATATGAATCAATTTTAATCTCTTAGTTTAAGGGAAGACAGATGGTGTATACACCGACGCCATCGTGATCGATTCTCAGTCATGTCACCAAGAGTCTCCCACCATTGGTCACGATAGTCACGCGGACCCCAACCAAGTAGTCTGCATCTACCAACATGGCTCAAACTAGAAGTTAGTGACTTCAAGGACTGATGCTACGTTTTGGTTTGGCCGCCCCTAACCTTCTTCCAACCATCTCCAACACCGGTTAGCATTGCACGTCGTGGTAATCGGTATTCAGGAATACGTAAAACGTGACCCAACCATCTCAGTCGATGAAGATTCACAAGCTGATCAACTGATTTACCATCATTCCCTAATACCCTGCATCTAACCTCACTATTACTTACCTGGTGATCCCAGCAGACGCCAGCAATATTTCTGATGCATCTGTGGTCAAATACTAGTAGCTTACAGGTGTCTTCTACTCTTAAAGGCCATGTTTCGCTGCCGTAAATTAAAACAGAACGGACTGCCGCGCAGTATACTTATCCTTTAATTGATAGACGGATATCTCGCCTTCGCCATAGGTGACGTAAGTTGGCAAAAGCCAAGCGAGCTTTTCGAAACCGGGCAGAGATTTCATCAGACACCAACCCATTAGGGCTGATTAAACTTCCAAGATAAGTGAAGTTGTCAACGCGTTCGACTACTTCACTCCCTATCCTTAGTTCAGGTGTTGACGCAGACCAGTCCTGTAGCAACAACTTGCATTTCGAGGGAGAGAAGCGCATTCCAAACATTCTGGCATTGTTGATCAGTGCTACCAAAAGACTGCATTTTGTCAGCGTCTTCACCAAACAGGACTATATCATCTTCGTATTCTAAGTCGATAAGTCGACGTCCTGGAAGGAGATCAATACCCGAGAATTCAGTAGAGGAGAGTGTTATTTCTATCAATAGGTCTATGATGAAATTGAACAAAAATGGAGAAAGTGAACAGCCTTGACGGACACCACTTGAGGTTACAAAAGTAGATGACAGTTCGCCATAAGCTCTCACTCGACTATCAGTATTCGAGTAAAGAGCCCTCACAAATTTTATATACTTCTGAGGTACACCTTTCAATGACAGACACTGCCACAGAATCTCGCGGTCTACTGAGTCAAATGCTGCTTTTAAGTCGATAAAGACCACCATTGTCGGACGCCGATAAGTATGCCTATGTTCTAGAACCTGACGAATGGTGAATATGTGGTCGATGCAGCCACGACCAGGTCTGAAGCCAGCTTGGTTCTCTCGTGTTTGCAGTTCACGAGTCTTAGTTAGGCGTCTGATAATTATCGAGGCTAGTACTTTAGATACTATATTAGTTAAACTAATCCCTCTATGGTTGTCACAGGATGATTTTAACCCTCTCTTATATATTGGGACGATAAGTGATTGTGACCAGTCAGATGGAATAAGGTCTAACTCCCAGATCTTAGCTAAAATATTAGTCAACCTAATCGCTAAAATTGAACCACCAGCCTTAAAGACCCCTGGAGCCAATCCGTCTGGATCAGCTGCCCTTCCTCGTTTCAGATAGCTTTCTGTAAAATTCATCTTTCACTTCATCTGAGCTGCAGTCGGTGGGAGCGTAGGCAGAAACGACAAAAAGGCAACGACGTGTGTCCCATTCCTTCCGAGTTCTTACGGGGTCGTTTAGCCGAACAGCACATAAACGACTGTTAACGGGGATCCATTCTAACAGTGCTTGTTCTGCCCTCATGCTCAGTGCTATCCCTACTCCTGCCGGTCCACGAGAGCTGGCCATCGGGTCACCAGATACACGGAGGGTGTATCTCGTTGACTCTCCGTTTTGTCGAGGTGAGGTCAAGTGAATAACCACACTGGGATCCTGTATGAGCGTTTCAGAGACACAGCATACCTCAATGGTACGAGATTCTAGGGTTATAGCCAGGGAAGCCTGTTGACCGATTTGACATAGGGTGCGTACGTTGAAGGTTCCATTGTGTAGTTTGGAGCGATGTTTCAGTAGACCTGGGACAGTGTTTTGAGCACTAGAATCGTTGGCTTTGGTGACATTTGAGGAGGAAGCCGAAAAAGGAAGTTTAGAGGTGAAAGTCGATATAGGAGGAATAATAGGAATTGAAGACGGAGGTTGATTATGAATACAGTGGTCTTGAGTGCTGTTAGAGGTATGAGGGCGGTTATCACTTCCCCGTTGCCCACACCGTGGAAGGGTTCTTCTGGAGGTACCTGAAAAGGAAATTGGATTAGATGTGGTCATAGTGACCTGGGAGCGTGACGGCGGTGCCCAAGGGACAACTGCTTGAGATCGGTTACACACGACCTTTTTATGGTTAATTTTTGTGTTAGCTCCGTACTTGTTGAGACCTTACCGCCGGAGACGGATATCCGTGGGATAAGGCGAGGTGTGCATTTTTAGAGTCGACCTTTTCTAACCCCACCCCTCCTTGTAGGAAGGCAGCATCGCTGTCATGCTGGTTGTATGAAGGAAACACCTTACTGCTGTCACACCTCTGTACAGTCCACAGTACGACTTCGCCCTCGGACCTTGGGTTTGTTGCTTTTAATCTTACCGCTCTTCAACTGACCTGTCTGACATAGTAGGACCTTGAAGAATGGTTGTTCCAGCCAGTATAACTCGGTTGCTTCATCACGATAGGCAAGCCCGACCACCCCGTCAAGGTAGCAACAACGGTCGGCAATCATTTACAATTCGTTATCCGGTGAATAAGTAAGATGTAGAGTGAGTTTATAAAGATTATTCGTTTTCTCTACATACCCCTACACTTTAGCTTAATTGGTTTGGATTCAAACTACAATTGGGAAGTATTTTGTAAAGGTTTTCGTTTTGTTTTCATTTATAGATCCCTATTCCGGTTCATGTATCCCACCCGAAATTCCTGACACATTGACCACAGAATCTGCCGATCGCAATTGCAAATCACGAAATATTTTTGATCAAAAGATATCATCAACCAAGTGCATAGAAACCATCGATTATACTAATGATCAAAACTATCATCAACAATCACTGGCTTCTGCCTATTTTCCCCAAGTATCTCTTTGATTTTCTGTTTGTTATCATTCGACCTTCAAGTAAAATAAGATAAATAGTTTGTTTCACATTTTTACAGCTGGCAAATCTGCAGTTTACCAATCAGTTCGGTTACACTTTTCTGTGTTCTTATTTTCAACTTATAGTCTGTAAATTTTCTGTGAAACTAGTGACTAAAAAAGTTATCTGTTTGCTTAGTTATTTATGAATAAAGTTTTTCTAGATGAATGAATTCACTTATCAAATTTGTTTTCAGTTCAAGTTAGCTTGGTTCGTGCTCTAGGTATCTAATAGCCAACTAAATCTGAGGATAAAGGCACAATTACAAAAATAACAACAGGTTTATCAGGAAGTGAGTCATTAACAAAGTTTGCATAAAAATTGTAAATCATGATGGTCTCATACCCGTAAAAACAGGTTGTTTGCTCGGATACTTTATGTTATCATAGTCACAGGTAGTTTATTGCTAGGATCATAGGAATATGGAACAACGGCAGTTTTATAGATGCGTGTAAGGTTATTAGGCACTGTAATGTGCAATCAAGTAAGACTGAAACCAATGATATCCCCCTGTTCGAACACCTCGCTGTAATCCATAAGCCTCAGAAGGAAATCAAACTTCTTAAGGATAAATGATATTCTGTTTGGTGAGGTTGTTCGAGAGTACACAGCTGATTGGATATTATATATCTTGGTTAGGAGGCTGTAACAACTTAGGTTGGTTGGTTAAGAGTTCACCTCAAACAACTAAGCATATGTCAATACAGTATAGTTCAAGTATTCACTCACCTTATTCTATATAGGCGTTATATTTCCTATTATCCTATATTGAATGTTGAGAGGCTTCGTTTGTCTTAACAAATAATCCCACGCTCGACTGTGACTGAGCGAAGATCCAAATAAAGACTTATTCACGACTTATCTGGTTTCTTCTATCAATAGCACGAGGGTTACCCAGAGTCACGAAACTGGTGAGCCCTATTAAACACTAATTTAATCTCATTTTTGTTATTAATATTATTTTCTTTACTTAGTCGCAAACGTAGACCCTCTGGTTATCCGTAAACCAAGTTGGGTATATACATAGTTTATTTTTTTTAACTAAAGCTATTCGTGTTGTAGTAACCATTTTTCGTGCTAATTTCGGTACTATATTGGTCACATACCTCATGTCAGACTCAATACAAACCCAAAACCTGGAGGATTTGTCACCAGTGGAGATAGACACTGTTATGACTACGAAATCCCGACTTCCAGAATTTGCTCCTAGTGATCCTGAGTTGTGGTTTGCTCAACTAGAGCATTATTTCACGAGGCACAATATCAAATCTGAAGGAATTCGCTATAGAGACTTGTGTTCTATCCAGAATCAAATGGGTCATAGAAACAGGAGTAGGTCACCACAACGACCAAGATCCAAGTCACAAGACAGGTCAAAAAGTCCAGACGACCTGGGCAGTCCTGTTGGTATCACTGGAAATTTGGTGTCAACACAACCAAGTCCATGCGCCGTGCCTAAGCAAAATTCCTAGATGCGGGAAACGAGTAACCTCTCCCCAGGTCGCGACGACTGAGGAGGGGCGCCTAAACAGTCACTTGAATTTCTTGGTAGATACTGGCGCTGCTCTTAGTATCATCCCTCAAAATAAAACTGAGCCGAGAAACATCTCCAATTACACTTCAAGCTGCCAATAAAACTAAAATCGCGACATTTGGGCAGAAAACTTTAACACTAGATTTGAGATTCAGCAGGCAATTCCTCTGGGTTTTC